GGGGGAGGGAGAGAGAGAGAGAGAGAGAGAGAGAGAGAGAGAGAGAGAGAGAGAGAGAGAGAGAGATTCCAGAACAGAAAGCCAGGCCAGAGAATGGGTGGCTCTTGTGACTTGGCTTCCTCCTGATTCCCACTTGTGACTCAGTGGACTCTGGCCCAGGTGTGCATGTGTTGTGTGTGGGTGTGTGTGTTTGTGTGCGCACATATGTGCGCACAGGTGTACCACACCATGGTGTACCAGAATATAGTGACTTCTACCCTTGATTGTGGGTGAGTCTCTGAACCAGAATATCTAGCCACTAACCACAGAGTGCCTGAGGGAATCTGCCCTGTTTGTCTCTGTGGAGGAAATCAGGAATCTCAGCAGCATTAGCCTTTGGCCTTAGCAGGCAGAAAGTGTGATTGAGTGAATGACCACAGAGGTGACAGGTAAGGAGGAAGAACCTGATTGACACATAAGGTGATGAGTCCCTTAACTCTGGAAGAAGCCAGTACATATAAAATAGACTCTTTTTTAATGGCGCGGACACAGGGGTGCGCAGCTAGGACAGTTTGTCCCATGTGAAGTCAAAGTTTTGTTTGAGGGGCCAGGTTTATGGCCTCTTTTCAGGTGGAATGAATATGCATGTCTTCATGGGTAACAGTCATCCATGAAAGCTACCCTCAGACTTTTGTTTGTGGATGCTGAAAAGGCGGTGTGACCTCCGAGACCCCTTGGCCTCTCAGAACTATAACACCGTGAGTGCGCAGGGAGGAGGGGGCTGCTCCTTCTGGAAGGTGTAGAACTGGCATGACTGGATGTGGTCATTGGTCCAGATATTGAGGAGGAGCCTGAGTCTGGATGCTTCAGCGAGAGGGGCACAAGTCTTGGAGATTGTGTTGGGGAACCAGGAGAAGTACCGGCAAGTGCATTGCATTGAGAAGCATTGGCTGCGGCAGAGGGCAGAGGGAGTCGAGTGCTGGACCAGGGAATCTGAGCTTTGCCATCAGTCCTGGGAGTACTGCGATAGGCTCTGTTGGGGCTAGGCTCAAAAGCACAGCATCTGTGACAGTTCTAAATGGGAGCCACTGCTGCTTGAGGCTGCAAGAGGCCTGGGAAAGTGACTGTGTAGGCCGAGCTGGGCTGGTGGGAATGCAGAGGAAAAGGGTGCCACCAGAGATGGCGTGCAGAGAGGGGAGAGGGCGAGTGACATTTGTGGGTGGGATTCCCAACAACAACCCACCTGAGATCATCATTGCCTCCATTGCAGGAGAAGATTCTAGAGTCGGAAAGGTTAAGCAGTTTGTCCAAGGTCCGTGGAGCCAGGGATCTGAGACCAGAAGAGGACCCACTCCAGGAACCAGGTAAGTCAGTGACCACTTGTGGGGGACCCAGACACTTAAGACCAGGAGGGACGAGCTTGTGAGATGGCTCCATGGATGAAAAGAGTTGCTGCTCGGCCTGGGGACGTGAATTCCATGCCTGCAACTCCATGACAGAAGGAGCAAACTGACTCCTGAAATTTGTCCTCTGTCCACACATGCTTAAATGTTAAAAAAGAAAAAGAAGAAGAAAAAAAGGAGTAGGCAGGAAGGATAACTGTAAAGACAGAATTGAGCCCAGGGCTTGGGTACAGGGAGTCCAGTACGGGATCAGGTGGATCGGTACTGAGAGACTTGTCATTTGTTAGCTCAGCCTGTAGGCCAGCCCTGCCTCGGGACAAGAACTTGGTGGGCCCTCGTGACAGTTGCCTGGGTTGCTGTTGGGAGGGAGCTTACAGGCTGCTGATGCGCTGGCCTGGCCTGGTGGCTGGGAGAAGCATGGCAGGAGGTGAGGCTGTCAGGAGAGTCTCCAGGGACTCAGCATTAGTCACTGAGTTCCCAGCACCCCTTGCTTTCTTTTCTCCCACACAGAAAGATCACAGTGCACAGGAGATCCCTTGAGGGAGGATGGCTTCTGTTTATTGTAGTTTCCCAGAGCCTGGTTCCCTCCAACGTCTCCCCGTAAAGGGGCTAAATAGACAGTTGCAGGATAGCATGAACCGTGTGTGAGAAGAGCAGCCACAGGGCCTCTTACGGAGTCAGAGCATCGGGGATGTTGGAGGGACAGATGGGGAAACGGAAAGTTTAGAAACGCAAAGTCTTCGGTCAGTTGTCATTGACCGACAGAAATAGTCTAGACCCTGTGAATCCAGCTCTCAGGTTTTGCCTTCTCTTCCTCCACATGGAGATGACTGTGCTAGAGAGAGAGGCCTGCAGGCATGCAGCACGCAGCCCTAGGGCAGTGTGTAAACAGCTCCCAGCACCAAGTGGACCATTTCCAGTGAGGGTTCTCTTTTCTTCAGTTCATAAACATCATACGCACACACAGACACACATACCACACACACATACCACACACCCATACACCACACAAACACACATAACACACACACATACCACACATCCATACACCACACAAGCACATATAACATGCACACATACACACCCCCCACATACGTACACCACACAAACACATAACACACACACCCCATATACATATACCACACAAACACATATTACACACTCACACACACCACCACACACATTCATATACCACACAAACACATACCAAACACACCATACACACATACACACCACACCACACACATCCATATACCCCACAAACACATATCAAACACACTACACACATACCATACCACACACATACATATAACATGCAAACATGTATCACACATAACATACACACTATATACATACATATATACATGCATACATACATACACTACACAAAAACACATAACACGCACACACATCCCAGCATATCATCTCTCGAGTGTTCGAATCATTTCTTTGACTTCTCCAAGTCTTGTTTCTTCTAAGAGTAATTTGACAAGCCACCGTTTATTGAGAGAGCTTGAACCTGTCCTGTCCGAGTGTGCAGGATCAGGAAGCCTCTAGTAAAGACAAAATACGTGTGTGGACTTACAGAATCGCGCAGCACAGACAGGGGAACCCCAAAATGAGTGACTGTGGGAGCAAAGGCAGGAAAGACCAAGCAGGAAAGGGAGGAAAGAAGCAAGAGTTCACAGAGCTCATGATGTGCACAGCTGCTGTCCTGTGCAGAGCCATCTTCGGGGGTAGACATATTAGAAACCTGGCATCCCTGTCGCTCAGGAAGCAGACAGACAGACAGGCCGACATAACGAGTACAAGGGCAGGGCGACTGTATGAAGTATTGTCCAAACTAGGACACTTTGTGGGTGACAGGGAGAACGCTGAGAATGTGACTCCTGCCACTCTAATGTTCCCCATGGCAACCAAGCCCGGCATGTGGCAGGTGTGCCCCAGTGACTTTCTGGCCATTCCCTTGGCAGGAGCTTCAACACACCCCATCGAGGAAAACCTCTTTTCCATTTTGCAGGAAAGTTAACTGAGGAGGAGGAAGGGCACACTCTGTTTGTCCACGAGATCTTTCCTCCTTTGCTCTCTCTGATTGGCAATGGTGGAGACAGGATTCAAACCCAGGCAAATGGGCTGTTTTAGAGCCTGTGCCATAAGCAACTTTTGTCCTCGCCAGAGTCACCTTCTAGGCTTTGTCTACCCTGCTCGGCTGCTCTAAAGGGCTCCTTTCGTGCTTACCTGTTTAGTGAGGTGTCCTGGCAGACTAGAGTATCATGGGCTGAGGCAGACATACTAGACCTCTTAAAGGTTAATGCGGGGAATGGATCCTGAATGCCCTTTCCTACCTGGGCAAAGTCGCATGTGGGTGCCTCTTCCCGTGTGGAGAGTGTAAGATTTCTCTTGTGGTAGGTTCTTCTGTTGAGAGCGTGTTTCCTAGGTAGTTTATTTTGGCACCCTGCTCTGGCTTCCTCAGAAGGCTGGCGGGACACTTTCTTCCCTTGCTATTTGTTGACACATCCTGGACAGGTGACCGAGGGAGGGGTCTCCAGTGGCCATGAACTCAGGGTGGGTGGAGCCAGACTCCAGGTTACTCTGCCACACCCACACGTTTCTAGAAGATCCTGAGAAGTAACAACAGGCTCCAATTTCCAAGGTCTCTCTTGCCACACATCTGAGCCAAGGATCACTCCAAAATGTGGCCCACCTGGGAGAGATGAAGGAGGCCAGGACTGAGGGTTGTGGGGGTGGGGAGGGCATGGTTTATCCTGGTTTGTCATTTTGGAGGCCTCAAGACCAAGGTTCTGCAGCGGAACTGGTTCTGTGTTGGTGTTACTTGAGACTTCTCACTGCTGTGACAAACAAAACACCAACAAACGCAATTTGAGGATGGCAGGGTTTGTTTTGGCTTCCATTTTGGGGGTGCAGTCCATCATGGCAGAGCAAACATTGTAGAAAGAATGGATCCAGCTATGGCAGCAGGGCCAGAGGCAGCTGGTGATGCTGCATCCACAGCCGGGAAACAGAGAGATGAATGCAGCTCTCTACTCCTTTATCCAGTCCAGAACCCAAGTTCTGGATGACGCTGCCTATGTGCAGGATGTGCCTTCTCTTCTCAGTTAAAACTCTTTGAAAACACCCAAAGGTATATTTCCTGGCTGATTCCAAATCCAGTCTGGTTGATGATGACTGTTTTGCTATCACATTGGGACAGGGCATCACATGTCTCTAAAGAGACATAGAAGAGACAGAGAGATCGGGAGTGCATGTCTTTCCCTCTTCCAATAAAACCACTAGGATTCAACCCTGTGGGATATACACTAATGACCTTATATAGGCACTTTCTGATGGTCCTACTTCTAACACTAGACTTGACTCAATAGCCCATCTTCTTGCTAGGTATGGTGGCACATGCCTGTCATCTTAAATACTCAGAAGACTGATTCAGGGGGATCTCGAATTTGAGGTCAACCTGGACCACACAGGAAGTTCAAGACAAACCTAAGACACACCATGAGACCTTGTCTCAAAATGAACAGACAGAACAAGATAAGACAAAACAAATCAACAAACAACACACACACACACACACACACACACACACACACGAATAGCTGGGAC